AGTAAGTAAATTTTTCCAGTCTTTTCAGCAGTCTTCAAATTACCATGAACAAGAGAATATTCATTCAGGGGAGGAGGCTGACAAATGGAATCCTTGTGGTAGACTTTCCAGTCAAATATTCAGTCTAACTAAAATGAAAAAATTCCATAATAGAGAAAAACCTTATAAATGTAAAGATTCTGGTAAAATATCGAATTGGCCTTCAGTTTGTACTCTAAATCAGAAAATTCATACTGGAGAGAAGCCTTACAAATGTAAAGCATGTGGCAAAACCTTTAAATGTCATTCATCTCTTACTGTACATGAGGGAAGAATTCATACTATAGCAAAATTTCACAAACTCAGAGAAGATGGACAATGCTTTAGTCAGTCCTCAGGTTATACTCAACCTCATAGAAATAATCCAGGAGTAAAATCTTATAAATGTTCAGAATGTGACAAAGACTTTAGCCGGTGCTGTACCCTTAGTACTCATCTGAGAATTCACACTGGAGAGAAACCTTATGACTGTAGAGATTGTGGCAAAGCCTTTGGCAGCTCCTCAGACCTTAGGAAGCATCAGAGAGTTCATACTGGAGAGAAGCCTTATAAATGTAGAGAATGTGGTAAAGCCTTTAGATGGTCCTCATATCTTAATACGCATCAGAGAGTTCATACGGAAGAGAAGCCTTATAAATGTAGAGAATGTGACGAAGCCTTTAGATGTTACTCCCAGCTTACTAGACATCAGAAAGTTCATACTGGAGAGAAGCCTAATAAATGTAGAGAATGTGGCAAAGTCTTTAGATGGTCCTCACACCTTACTAGACATCAGAAAGTTCATACTGGAGAGAAGCCTTATAAATGTGGAGAATGTGGCAAACTCTTTAGATGGTCCACAGACCTTACTAGGCATCACCGATTTCATACTGGAGAGAAGCCTTATAAATGTGGAGAATGTGGCAAAGCCTTTACAACGTCCTCAAATCTTACTATGCATCAAACAGTTCATAATGGAGAGAAGCCTTATAAATGTGGAGAATGTGGCAAAGCCTATATATGGTATTCACGCCTTACTAGGCATCAGAGAGTTCATACTGGAGAGAAGCCTTATAAATGTAGAGAATGTGGTAAAGCCTTTAGATGGTCCTCCTATCTTAATAGTCATCAGAGAGTTCATACTGGAGAGAAACCTTATAAATGTGGAGAATGTGTTAAATCCTATAGATCGTCCTCACAACTTACTAGGCATCAGAGAGTTCATACTGGAGAGAAGCCTTATAAATGTAGAGAATGTGGAAAAGCCTTTACAAGGTCCTCACACCTTACTACGCATCAGAGTGTTCATGCTGGAGAGAAACTTTATAAATGTGGAGAATATGGCAAAGTCTAGATGCTCCTCAGAACTTAATCCGCATAACAGCGTTCATACTGGAGAAAAGCCTTGTAAGTATAGAGTAAGTGGCAAACCCTTTAGAAGATCCTCAGAAGTCTTATACCATATATGTAGAGAATGTGGGAAAACCTTCAGTGTAGCATCATACCTAAAGTAGAGAGATCATACTGGAGAGAAGCCTTTTAAATATAGAAAGTACGACAAAGATTTTATTTACTGTTTCTGCCATACTAGACAGCATAGATTTCATAGTTGAGAGAAGTCTTAGAGATGTGCAGCGTTTCATGAGTCCTTGACCAGCAGTGAGAACTTACTGAACATCACAGAATTCACTCTGGACACAAGCCTAATGAATGTGAAAAATGTAAAAAAGCCTTGAAAAGTCATTCAGGTATTACTGTACTTGAGAGACTTCCTAACAGAGAGAGTCCTTACAAATGTAAAGAATAGGCTGGAGCCTTTACTCACACCTCAAAATTTACTAAACATCAGAGATTTCATACTGGAGGAAACCTTACACTGTAGAAAATGTGAGAAAGCACTGGCTGGCATGACTCAGTGGCTTACCTTGGACCACGCACCACAATGTCAGGGTGCAATTCCTGGTCAGGGCAGTGGCCCTGGTTGTGTAAGCGATCTCCAGTGTGGGGCTGGTAGGAGCAAGCTGATCCACGATTCCCTCTTATACATATTTCTATCCCACACTCTTCTATCCTCTCTGAAATCAATAATATATTTTGAAAGAAAAAAAAATAGGAAACCTTTAGTCAGTGTGTATTCCTTCCTGTACATCAGAGAGTTTATACTGGAGAGAAACATTGCAAATGTGATGAGTGATATAATCTTTTTATATCAATGGAGTCTCTTAAAATCAGAGAATTCATTGTGAAGGAAAGCCTTACAAAGGTGAAGAATGAGGCACAACTTTTAATTATCCTTGTCTTACTCAACACAAGAGAACTCGTAGTGGAGGAAACACCTATAAATGTACTGTGTGCAACTTTGATCAGCAGTGGGGTTGCCTGCATTGTGAAGCTTCATTGTAGAGCGTGGACCCATGAAGCAGGAAGTCAGTGTTCATTTCCCGATTAAGACTCATGCCCTGTTTGTGGACTATATATCCAGTAGTTTTCATGCAAGATGCAGCTGATAGATGATTCTCTGTTATCATTGCTGTTTCTGTCTCTCTCCCTCTCCCTTCTCTCTCAAATCCTATACCAGTGATGTAGTACAACATAGGAGATGTTTCATACCTAGGATGCAGAATTGCTATGAACTCTGCATTGGAGAGAGGAAACCTGTTTCCGAGCTGCACTCCTAGCTGAACCCAGAAAATTAAGTTTATTTCTTTCATTTCCTATTTCATATTCTCCGTGTTATGTTTTTCTTTTCTCATTTTTCTACTCAGCTGATACTCTTTTCTGCAGTGCTTTAACAATGCTGTCTAAACCTCTTCCCCTCTGTTCTGCAATTTAGAATTTTACTATTGCAATAACTGACTTCAGAATTTGGCAATATCTTTCTCTATATTCATGCAGTAGAAAGGTGACCATTGATGTTTCCATGCTGGATTCTAGATTTTGAATATGAATGTTAATTTTTGGATTATAATAAATTGGCTTCTGAATGCTTTATAACTGGAATGATTTTTTTTGTCCTGATTTTCATTGTTTTCCTTAAGAATTTCTGTGTTACCTCATTCCCTTCTTTCTTGTGATGAACTCAGCCCTTGTTAAACAAATTTTATTGTCAATTACTTAAATGTTGCTGAACATTGGTCATTCTTCCAAGAGGAATCCCAGAGACCAATGCATATTTGCAGTTGAAAAATTTTATTTTTCATCAGAAGTTATTTTGTATATTGACAGCATGACCACAGTTATGTTCATAGGCGCATTAGTTGTCCCCACATTGTTTTCCTACCGTCACTGTAAGTCCCAGGTACGGCAGGATAGCAGTGATTGAAATGAAAGCGCCACATAACATTCCTTCTCCAGTGAGTTGTAAATTTGTACAAGCTGGTAATATCAGATGCTTTGCATGGGCCAACCCAAAGGATCACACAATGATTAAAGAAGCTAGATATTGGGTGGTACCCTTCTACTCCCTTACATTTCCATGGAGCATTCATATGTATAAGAATCTCCTGATATTTTGTGACTAGGTCTCTATCTGGACTGGGGGCTTTAAAGTTTTGCTTGGGACAAACTATTGGATCCGGATCATTGATAGGAATTTGATGTCACCTAGACAAGAGTTCCATTTTCTGGTACTGTAGTGAGTAATATTGAGGGTGTGTATTGATGGAAAAGATACAAAAGATTTGTTTTTCACTTGGTCATTAGGAAAATAGATGAAGCAGACATTGTTTCAGGGTTCAGAGGGCCTTCTGTCTTCATTTTGTTCATAATGTATATTCTGCTTTGGGATGAAAAGCTCTTAGAGACTTCAATATGTTTTATCTCATGGCACAAATGTAGCAATTACTGAAATTCAGAGATCCACCAAAATATGTATTTTGCCAACCTGTCAAAAAAATGTCTGACTTTGACTCATGCACGCCACACAGCTATTACTGTGTTGGCCTTTGTCACATTTTATTCAACACTCTATGGGTAATGTAGTCTGTTCTGTTGACACATAGCCAGGTGTTTCTTGTACTAAAAATTCTCGGAGCACACCAGTTTGCCAGTGTGACACTCTGCTTGATAATCTCTGCTATAAACTTATCAAATCCATCTTGTCTAATGAGTCATTTAAGACCAATTTTTCCAAACGCCCAGGACCAGACGGCTTCACTGGGGAGTTTTACCAAACATTCAAGGAAGAACTAAAACCTGTCCTCCTCAGACTACTACAAAAAATTCAAGAGGAAGGAACACTTCCAAGCTCATTCTATGAAGCCAGCATCACCCTAATACCAAAACCAGGTAAAGACAACAGAATGAAAGAATTACAGGCCAATATCGCTCATGAACATAGATGCCAAAATCCTCAACAAAATCTTAGCAAATCGGATCCAGCAGTACATCAGAAAGCTC